AACTTTACAGAATTTGTGCATACTTCATTTTTTAAGACATAACCTTTTAAGCAATACAAATTATTAATTTTATCAGCAACAACTATCAACTCTCTAGACTCATTATATATTTTAGCACTTTCATTTTTAGCTACTATTGTACAACTATTAGTTACCTTTGAAAAACTTAATAAATTTTGTTTTATTCCTTCGACATAATAGACATTTTCTAAATCTACATACTTCACACTATAATAGTTTTTGAAATACATTTTTACAGTACCTACTTTGGTTGCTTTCAAGGTTTTTCCATCTGGTAATTTTACATCAACAAAATCTTTCAAATCTACACTGTCATAAAAATATGAATAATCATTTATAAGATGGTCAGTGCACCCACTATCTAAAAGCCAATTAACTACATTACTATTATTATTAAATGTTACCTTTTCATTACATCCGGATACCTGGTTTACTTCTGGTTTACATACTTCAGCTGTCCATGACTGGGAGGGACCGTTGCTCGAAGATTCACCTTTAGGATGATTGCTAGATGAGTGGCCTTGACCTCTGCCTCGGCTGCGACCTCTGTAGGATCCTCTCTGATGTCCTCGCTGACCCCGACTAGACGACTGGAAACTTCCTTGAGAACTTTTTTGTCCTTGATTATTTCTCTGAGCGTGCCAACAATCCTTCTTGAGATGACCAGTCTTACCACAGACAAAACATTGAGCTCTTGTGGTGCTGGTTGTATATGTACTCACATTATTTTTCTTGTCATCGCACATAGTCATATTTTTCTCCTTTATTTTTGAATGTACATAGTCCACAGTCCTTTGTTCTTCAGGAATCACGTCCAGAAAATCTCCTATATAACTATAACTTGGTGGTAGGGCTCTGAGCAGGTATCTTAACTTTTCAGGTTCATCAATTTTACCTCCGGCTGTTTTGAATTCGTTTATGGATTTTTCAAAATCAACGAAGAAATCCTCTACTGTGTCGTAATTATTTAATTTGATCGCTTCCACTTTTCCTCGACATATAATTTGAAGAGATGTTGATTGAGTAAGATACATTTTGTCGAACTTTTGTAACATGTCAAAAGCTGTCTTGCACTCAGTGATATATTCTAATTGTTTGTCCGAAATAGTACTCATAATAATAGTCCTTGCCTTTAAATCCATCTTCTTCCATTCCGCTTCTGTATTTTTATATTTCACCGGCATTATGCCTATGGCGGCCTCGTTGCATTCTTTGTATTCCAACAAAGTAACCAACCTTAATTTCCAACTCGAATAGTTTGCCCCATCAAAAATAGGTATCATGATGTCTTCTATTTTAGCTTGTTGTGCCATATTTACGTATATTCTTGTAGATTCAGACGTTTTCAAAACTAACTTTTCCGTTGTGACCGGATAACCTCAATCGTAATTTGATTTCATAATAGCACTTCATATTTATTGACTTTTTCGTGAAACCACTTAACCACGCTCTGCTACCATGTTGAAGTGGTGGATGTGGTTGAATAATATTTAATAGCTTGTTATATTTCGTAGTTTTATTAAAAATCTCACAGAAAGCACATGATGGGCGCCATGCAGACGACAAAAGGGAAGAATACAGATAATATATCGACGTCTATGAGAAACTTGCCAACTTAACACTAGATGGCGCTACTTATATTATTTAACTTAAGATTATAATATTTACCTTATTACAACAGTAACTTGTAATACTAATTCGCTTCTATTTGCGAAACGAAGCAACAGTTAGATAAAATAGATAAACGAATCAATTGACATTCACTTTACTATCACGATTGCCATCAGGTAATCTCTACGAAACTATTATAGTGTCACCTATATTGATTCGATAGCGCTGTTATCCGCAACACTTGTATAGTAGAGGAGGTGACTAGGCTAGCGTTTTGCGGTTGAAAACTGCAGTTAAAAAGGCTTTTTTTGAACGGGGAAAATCATCTAATTCTACCACCTCTTCTACCGCCTTGGGTGAGGCGAGAGTGTCAGACTTTTACTGAGTAAAAACCACCCCCATCTTATCTCCTGCTCTTCGAACCAGGGCTTTGACAATTCGTTAAGTTTTTGTCATTTCCCAATCTCTGTCAAATATGTAGTCTTTTGCGGAATTAATATGTTACCAGATCTTAATCCAGAATTTGAGGATTAAGATCGATTTTTGACAATAGTTGCAAAACTATTGGAGTTTTGGTTAAAAATGGAGATGCATCCAGTCCAGATATTTCGGTACCTAATTCAATGCGACCGTTAGTCGGCGATTATGACACTCGCAGAAGGTTTTTTGTCTCAGGGCTTAGTACGAATTCGTTTTACGTTAAAAGTAATCGAAACGAGACCGCGTCCTGTGCTCCGATTGGTTGGTTCATTGGAGCAGGCCAATCAGAACGCCGCACGCGTACACGTTACGGTTATTTTAAAATTTAAACGTAAAACAAACTCATGGTCTGCCGTCATCACACGGCTTCCGAATTAGAACAGGGTCGACAAGTTTATGAACATTACTTGTCCTGTCACAGTTCTATAGCTAAACATATACCTAAGAGTGATATCGAAGCTCTATAAATCTTCATTGTTGATTAATTCAATTCAAGTGCCCGCGATAAAATCGTGTCGATTGGAAGTAACGCCTCTACGAAGGACATATTACTTTCATTCAACGTCAAGTTAAATGTCCAACATAAGATATGAATTTATTGCCGATACCTTTATCAAATTATTTAATAGACTAATAAAATTTGCGATAATTTTAGTTTATCGCTGATAAAAATGTTTTGCGTGAACAATAACAATATGAACTAATTTATTACGTCAGTTTGATGACGGCTTAGCTCGGACCACCATTTTATCTAATTAAATTAAATCCGGAACATGAGACCACTTTACTTAATTAATAAAATTGTGTTTTGCTATCGAATTACTTTGAGTATTTGCGGTTATTTGTTTGTGGCAAAATATTGTGTAGCATTTTTTAGCAAATCTAAGTGAGGCTGGATGACGTTCATCAAGTCTTCCTCAATCAAACACATACGATTGACTATTGAGTACAATACTGTCTGATAGTTTTTATATTAGTTACCAAATAGGTACCTAATGTATTTATTTCTGATATATGTAATTGGCATTCCATAGTCATTCTATCTACCTTCATGGCCCATGGGAGACAGGCGTGAGGATATGTATGTATGTGTTTATTTTAACAAGCTGCGCGTCAGGCTAAACCTCAGGAACGGCTGGACCGATTTGGGTGATTTTGACATTAAAATGTTTGTTTGGGACGATTTAAAACTGATTATGAAAAAAATGCGTGTGCGCTTTTATCCAGACTAGTGAAAAATAAAATATTAAAATAAGTAATTATTGTTATCAGTTTCCGGACTAATTAGCAACGTCATGTACCCTAATGGCTTACACCAATTAATACATAGATTAGATAATATGATTGATAAATAATTAATAAATCATAGGTACAGACAGGTTAATTGATAAAAAGTTCGCACTAAATGTAAGGGGGAAAATCCATTCATTATTTTTAACTGCCTTATTATTTTTGCATCATTGGACCATTTAGCAATAGGTAAAACGTGCCTTAATATCAAATTAATAGGGTACAATTTTGTAAACATAGGTATAGGTTTTTTTTAAGGGGGGAAAATTATCGAATGACTTCTCCCGCCTGGGTGAGGCGGGAGGGAGTGTCAAACTCTTACTGACTAAAAACCACCCCGTTCCTACTCCTGCACTTCGACCCGGAGCCCCGGTTACCCGTTAGGTTTTCCGCGGCGGCGGAACATATAGGTATTGGTATTGGGTAATGGTAGATGTTTTGTTGTAACTAGACTAGATAGTGTGCCGCAGAGTACTTAACGGGTTGCCGGGGCTCCGGTTCGAAGGGCAGGAGAAGAAACGGGGTGGTTTTTAGTCAGTAACAGTCTGACACTCCCTCCTGCCTCACCCAGACGGGAGCAGTCTAGATATTGTATTGAAATCTAGTCCTTTTTCTATGGATGTATAAGTAATTTATTGAAACGTATTCGATTTTTATTCGAACTCATTCTCCTAAAGGAGCGCTATTGTTTCGGATTTTCTTTTCTGTTACACAATTATACAATATCATTTTTAACCGACTTAAATAAAAGAAGGTTGTCATTTTGACCTGTATGTTGTGTGTTTGTGTGGGATTATCTCGCGATTAGCTGAATCAATTTTGATGCAGTTTCATAAATGTGTTTGTTACACTTAGGTAAAGGTTTTAGTATACTAATTAACCGACTTCAAATCAAGAAGGCTTTGGACTCGGTTGTTTAAAACGTAGTTTTTGAAATAACTGTTTTCGATAAAGTACAATCATAGCACCAAGCTTAGTAAAATTGTGTTATTTGGTTGTTGAAATAGTGTAGGCAATTAAATATTTGTTATTTATGATCTTGACCACAAATAATTATAACTTAAGTTTTCTACTCAAATATTTATTAATTGTGGTTTTAACAGTAATGCCTTAATAAATCAAATGATTGGCTATAAAAGTAAATTATGTCAGAATTGGGCCATCGCTAAGAATAGTTATATATGAAATAGTACACAGTAAACGTTAATTCGTGCTGATTTTGTGTCGGTCTGCGGTATTCCAAGTGAAGAAGTTTTAAGTGTGGGAGAGCCAAGCTTCGGCACGAATGGGCCGGGTCGACCGGAGTGATACCACGGCCTCACAGAAAACTGACGTGAAGCAACGCTTGCGTTGTGTTTCGTCATGTGAGTGAGGTTACCGGAGGCCCAATTACCCTCCCCTTCCCCAATGTCCTCAATTCCTGAATCTCCAACGATCCTCAAACTCCTAATCCCCAAAAGGTCGGTAACGCACTTGTAACGCCTCTGGTGTTCCAGGTGTCCATGGGCGACGCCGATTGCTTACCATCAGGTGATCCGTCTGCTCGTTTACCGGATTATGCCATAAAAAAAAGAAGCATTTAAGATAAAAAAACATACCTAATCCTCGATGCAATCGCAGCATAGTCCTTGAGCCAGAGACAAATCCGTTCTTGTCATACAAGTTTGTCTCTTTTTCATACTTCATCATCTTCTTAAACGAGTCATAGTGTACTGCATCCTCTCCTTCTCTATGCTTCTCCATTACTTTGATTTTACTCTTCACATCACTACTTACAAATGAGAATACTGATCCTATTAAGTTGAGAAACCTGGAAAGGAAGATTTTATTCATATCGTAAATTCAGTTGCCATTAAAGGAAGAAAAAAGTTATTCATTTTCAATTACTTATCATTAATTGGTTTCTTGGTAAAATAAATGGAATTGTATTTTATTTCCATTTATAAGTTGTCAAGGCATGCTGTTAGTAATAATGGAGATTATTCTTTAAATCTATAAACCTGGTTATTCGTAATCAGATTTGCATAATTCGGTATATTCCTTTTGACCTGTTGAAATTCATCCCCTAATTTGTTCATACAAAAGTAGTCTCTATACATTGGAAATAAAGTCTATAATGTAGTTAGTGGAGAGCGGTTACCGGTGACCGCTTGGGGATGTATGGGTTAAGATGCAGGTAGAGGTCAGGAATCACACTTGTCATCACTCAATCATTATCGTCAAGTGAGCAGTTTTGACCATAACCTAAAGTCTCAAATGAGTAGGTTGCTTATGGGCAGGCATGCTCCATTGTAGGCTGCATCGTGGCTTACTAACCAGCAGCTGTAGCCAAATGCCTTGCGCAAGCGCTTGTCTACTTGTAGAATAGAAAACCAAATTATATGGGATTGACGTACATTTTGACACTTGTCAGTGTGACAAGCGCTAAAGTGGCATTTAGCTAAAGCACATTACAAATAAAAAAATAACCATAATTAAATTAGACATGATTTTAGGTTGTTTGATGATCATAATTATCATTGAGATGTAGGGCAAATACTTGATATGATAGATAAATAAATAACTAATAAGTGCCTTGTTGCCAGAGTGGTCGCAAGTGCGACTGCCAGGCAAGGGGTCTCCGGTTCGATTCCAGGATCGGGCAAAGGATTACTGGTTTTAAAAAAAAATCTTCTAATTCACGGAGTCTGGAATTATGCCCGGTATATGGCGATAGGCTCACTCCCTATTGCATGGATCTCATAACATAAATAGTGAAAGTGGGTGTTACATTGTACAGTGGCATTAAGTGGTGTAATATGCACCTCTACCTACCCTACTGCCTACCCCTATGGAGATAAAAGGCATGATGTTATGTATGTGTGTGTCTAAGAACCACAAATATCGCTATTTCTATATTAATTAACTCTTTGATAGTGCATGCACTTGAAACTTCAATAGATAAATTTTAATTAACCTTTTCGCCGCCCAGCTATACTAAACACGATGTGTCGCCGTACGCCAACGTATAAATGTATAATAAATGTATAGTACGAAAGTAGGGATGGCGGTAACATCATGTCGATAATGAAAAAAAATATGTGTAAATTTAAATTGGTACTCAAATTTACAATTAAAAATACAAACTGTTAAGTTATAATGGTAATTTGTTTTATTTTATGAACATTTATACTAAGAAAAATGGGTATCCGTTATCAGAGATGAAGATACATGCATAGAGTTGCTAGAGATAATAATAATAATTCGTAACATTAGCCACTTCACTATTCATTTCATAACGTAGTCTGTTTACTTCATATCAAGTCATTGGCGTTCAAAGCACGATACATTTCGTAAGGAATAGTTGTCTATGCTTTTCTTTCTTTCTATCGAGTTTGGTTTGCTTTTGGTTTTAGTTTACATTTAAAATCTAACGTCAGGTCACGATCAGGAACATTGTTTGTAGTGATTAAAAGTGGCAACATATGTGTAGTTTTGGAAATGGATGGTAAGTAACTATTTTAATACAGATGTACTAAACTTTAATAGCTTATTTTTCATTTAATGCAAATGAAAAACTGGCACGTTTGATGGATATTAGGTAGTCATAAAATACCTATTCGTTGCGGCTCTCGGTTTCGCAAACTTTTAGCTGTGTCGGCGAACAAATATAGACCTGAGTCGATCACAAATTTTTCGCGACCCAAACAGTTTGTAATCGAATCAAAATGACTCAATCATTTGGATATTTCATAATCATGAAAATAATTATAGGTATAGGCCGTGCGATTAATCGATTAAGTGCGATTGCGTGCGTGCACGCGTCGCCCGGAACTATGACACAATGACCTTGACGCCTAAGCGCTTACGACGTCACAGGTTTACTTCTATTGAAGTTGACGGCGCTAGTGTCACTCGACATCTTGCCATTACGTAGAGATGGGTCTAGCAATATCGAAAACCCTCAGTACATAATAATTAATTTTAATGAAATGATTTGATAGGTAGATGTACATTAACTTTGAAACGCATTGTAATACGTTATTTACTGACCGAATTTCTTTTTATTCATAGAATTCAAAAAACTATTGGATGGAAAAGAAAACAAATATTATAGTAAATAAAGATTCTAATGAATGCTCCTTACGCGTCACATCACTGGCCTACTTGATATGAAGTCGTTGGCGTGCGGGATATAAAATTATTTGAAACCTTTTATGTTTTACCTTTTTAAAACAGAAAATAGTCTGTTTTGCATGAGAAAAAATAGTTCGTCGTGTCCATATTACAAAATTACAAAGAAACAAATGTTTTATGTATCGTAAATGTATTTTTTATAGTAGGTAGATACAATGAACTTCTATAGAAGTAGTGGCGTGGACGGCACGAAAATCCTGAACTTCTATAGAAGTTGTTGGCGGCGAAAAGGTTAAACACAAATCACCTTGTTATTCATTCTTAGTTACTATTTAGAGTTAGATGTGTTAGGTTGCTTCCTTATTAATAGTGTTAGTACTGATATGAAAATAACAATTCAAGGTTTTGGTCAGATATTAGTTAGTTAGCAGTTATTCTAATTAATTTCTCCATTAGATAGTACTTAGCTAGAGTTGTTACGTCAAAAATGAGGATTTTTGTTAGCCTTCGGGGAAAAAATTCTATTTGTGTCTTGAAATTGTTAAATTTTAATGAAGCAATTGAAAATAGAATCAAATTGTTACTGAGAAATATACTTGATATAAATAGGTACAAAGAGAATTGTTATGAATCTTAAGTTAGTTGGCACTATGTTCAGATTCTTGTGTCATAACTTTCACATTTTAATTATTAAGCTATTAAAATAACTGTTCTATTTATTAAAAAATAATTAATAAAAAAAGAATAAAAAAATATGAGTTGCAACAGAAAAAAAAATATTTTAAACTCTTTGCCTGTACAACGATTAATTAAAAAAAAAAATTCCTGAACACAACATTGAAACATAAAATTGACAATCCGCGCGAAAGGACATAATTAGAAAGTGCATTCATTGTCCAGCTACCAAAATATATGACTTTGAGTCAAAGACGAGTTGTAGTTCTTATTTCAAAATTCACATAAAATGCACTTAGTAATCCCATTGTTGATGCAGTTATTCATTATTAGACGTTCAAAGTATAACTATTACCAATAAGAAAAACCTAATCATTGCTCGCCAATTTAAAGCACGCGACCTCGCGAATTTGCTATACAATCTTATCTACAATATTATAAACACTTAGCATTTTTTAAATCCATATGGAAACAAAATAATCCTTACTTGACTAATTCGTTGTAACCTTCTATGTACGCTTCAATGACAACGTCATCTTCCTCTTTCAGGCTTCTTTGGAAGCACTGGTGAACATGGTGTAAGTCCAAAGCGTTTTCGTTCGACATTTCTTTTAAAATACTGTAAAATAATTTTGAATCCCTACTGCACAAACGACACCACTTTCCAACAACTGACTGTGAGACTGACGTTAACGTTGACAAAACAAAATGACATTGTTTTTTATCAGCTGCCAGCTATCGCGTCTGTCGCTGCCAGAACACAAGTGCGTAAATTGGAATGTAAAAAATTAAATCAAAATATTATCAATTATCATCGTCGAAAATTATGTTGGTCATCATCGTCCATAGTTAATAATAATAGGTTTGAATAAACGTGTAATTTACCGGTTAATCTTGTTTTTTAATTATGATGAAATATTGCTTTACTTTTCTGGCAACATCTCTGTCTGTGATGTTTTTTTGTTTACTGTTAATATAATTATTTAATAATATGAATACAATTATTACCAAAAAGATGGATGAAAATAAAATGTTGCTTTTGTATCGTTTTGTTATTGCTTGCTCAAATCATGTGATACATTCGCGTCATTACATTTCATTCATGCAATTTTGAACTGTCAGATCAGATGACTGTCAGTGTCAAAATTATCCCAAGGTCTTGGATTGGAATGAATTTCGTCCTCTGCTATCTAAAAAATATTTACTTTTCGTTTCATAGAGATAATAAAGTGCTAACGATAACAAATAAACGGTGGGTCGATTTGCATATTATGTAAAATATAGTGTAGTGAACGCAATAACAATTATCTTTCAACATCCGTCGCATTAAATTATCCGGTAAGTGTTATTTTTCTACCAACATGCAAAAATATGACAAGTTTCACAATTTATTTTTAGTTACGGCGTCGAGTGGCTCTAGCACACAAGTATTCAGGTTAATCAGTGATACGCGGTTCCTTCAATAAGTAGTATTTAGTGTTCATTTTTGACTTTAATGAATATTTTATCTTTATTTCTTGGAAGTGCGTCACAACTCTCATTGTTTACAAAGGGACTTCCCGTGTGAATTCATCTACCAACTTGTTACGCAGGTTAGTTTTATGTTGCTATTTATCTTCTACTGACTTGCTAATTTGTCAAGTAGGTAAAAAGTGAGTAATTTTGATTATTTATTGGGTAATAATAGCTTTTATCAAAGAGGATTTTATCCATATCAATTTAATTGTTTACCACTGCGTTTCGTTTTTGCTGGTCAAGTTTTTTGGTAAGTGTATTAAAACTTAAAATAAAAATTAGGGTAGAGTAATAATAGGTATATAATGATCATACCAAAAACTATGCCTTTATTTAATACTAAAAGTATCCTGTTATGGGAGTTTTAGGTACCTAACATAAGGCCTTTTGAAACTATAATTGATTATTTATTTGAACTATAAGTATATAAATAACAGTTACTTATGTAAGTGCAAATTGATAACCACCACAGGTCATGGCAATTTTCATTGTTCAGTATAAATTAACATTCAAAACAACTTTTTATATTATAGTCTATGATCAATTTTAGCCATTTATATTTTTTTATTCTATGAGAATACTGCATGCAACAAGTACAATAACATCACAGTGCACAAAACATCATGCATGAATGTGACTGAAAGTAGATTGTTGTGCCAACAAAATATACTATCATAGACAAATACAGAACAGTGGTTGCTATCAGACATGCATGTTATTATCAAAGTTGACACAGTAATTAAGAGCAATAAAATTTATTTAAAATCAAATAAGTATTGTAACAATGTTAAATAATATAATAGTTACCTTTCTTATAAGATATTTATTTTATATTCTGTTGTCTTGTTATGTACCAACTTTCTGTACTGAATGTAAAGTGTTATCTTGAATGCACTTAAATAATTCTATATTCAAAATTGTCAGTGCATAACTGGTTCCGTTTACAGCTATAGAAAAAAAAGAGTACTTTATTCAAAAAGTTTTCTTTTTTTATTATTTGGTTATTGTTCCTTGAAATGGAAGAGGTGTGTATCTGTTAATTTGAAATAATTATTAGTTAGTTATATTTTTATTTTAAAGTGAGCATATGGTCATTGTTACTGCATTCTATTTGGTAACAGTGGACCATATGGTGTGACCCATTTTGCCCCTTCTACTCTCTATGCCTTTCCTTTGTGCTGTATCTTTCTTTGTTAAAAAACATTTTATCCATTGGTTTTAAACTACAAAATTCACAGTATTCACCTCTTGATGTAAAAATATTTTTATAATTTTTATCTTACAAAAATGATAGTGCATTTGTCTGTTTTATTTTTTTATGAAATAAAAACGTAATAATGTATGTGTGTAGGAAAATAAGATAAACATACAAAATACACAGTAACAGTTAAAAATTAAAATTCATAAATTAGGTAATGAAAAGAAATAGCAACATCATTTCAGTTTGAACAATTGTTTCAGACTCAAAGTGTACAAATTATATTTTATTCATTTACACAGCGGGTTAGGTGTTTTGTTAGCAACAAATGTGTAGAATACATACATAATATCACGCCTTTTATCCCCGAAGGGGTAGGCAGAGGTGCACATTATGCCCCTGTACAATGTAACACCCACTTTTTACTATGAGTCCCATGTAATAGGGGGTGAGCCTATTGCCATATACCGGACACAATTCCAGACTCCGTGGTACTACTGAGAATTTTTTAAAAACCCAGTACTACTTTGCCCGACCCGGGAATCGAACCCGAGACCCCTTGCCCGGCAGTCGCACTTACAACCTCTCGGCCAACGAGGCAGTCTGTGTAGAATACATTAAACATACCTCTTAAATAACAGGAAAAGGAAACACAATATTTCCCTAAGCCCCTTGAATGCACCAATTAGAAAATACTTTGTCTTGTGTGGATTCATGTTTAGACATATACGAAAAGTTAAAGTAGTCCCAAATTAAATCAATTTTAATTTCCAATAATATGTCTATTAGTTAACATTATCACAATTGGATACTTGCTCACTAGTCAATTTCAATACTTTTTTCGAACTGTCAAAAATAACAGTTTTATATAAATTTTGTACGAGATTGTGTATTGTGACGTCACGTTTTTTTAGCGCCAAACAATATACTTATTTCTTAAAAATTTGCTGGAAGAATACTAAAATTAAGTTGAATGACTTGAAGATTATTTTTTAATATTTTATTGTATTTAACAGTCGAAATAATTTGTTTGGAAAGTACCTAATTTATTTATTTTGTAGTACCCTAGTTCATCAATGAATATTTGCGTTGATAAATATCAATCAAAATTGAACTTTCCTACCACAAAATAACACTTGCAATGCCTTGCCTTTAATGTTATGTAAGGAAAGCTTTCTCTCATCATAATTCAGTTCAGTTATGGGGACCCTACTTGTTTGTTTTGCCTTAAGTAAGTAGTGCTAGTTTGCTACCCACGTATCTTATAGCTTGATAGAATACATGAGCCTTTATTATACTCAAGTTTACCACCTTCATGATGAATAGTCCAATCCTGTCCAATTTGAGATATTGTTTTATTGGTTGAACTGCAAATTCCCGCGCGATGTTGCTGTCCGGCTCCTACTTGTGGTAGTGTGGTGTTTAATACATTATAGACTCGTTCGATAAAACTTGAATTGTAATAGTTTCAACTTATCAAAGAAATACTAAAGAAATACTAAACGTACTGTACAATAATAATAATAATAATAATAATATAAGCCTTTATTCAGACAAAGCATTTACATTAAAATAGTTTATAATTGTGACTCTGGTGAGTCGTTGACAACGATAACTTCGTCTGTTTGCCCAGCTTTGGCAAAGGCCTCCTCCATCTCTTTCCACTCTGCTCGGTTTAGCGCTGTTCTAGTCCATGTTTTTCCTCCTATTTTTCTTATATCGTCTTCCCATCTTCTGAACTGTACAATACCAGTACTATAATTGACTAAAATAATAATAAGAAGGAATATTTGTTAAATTAAAGGCGTATTCACTGGTTTAATTACAATAAATCTTTATTATACCGGTACTCGTTACGATGTTTTGACAGACATTGACATTAGAAAAGAAAAAGGCGGGAGATAGAAAAATATTACAAGTAGCCAAGCGTGAGTTGGCGTCATAAGGCGCGAAATTCAAATTACATTTTTTTTTTTAATTTTAACACTCCCCTTGAATTCGAGCCTTGTTAACTAGTTACAAACAAAAATAATACAATTTTAATAATGTTCCTATCAAATTCTATATCAATAATAAGATATATAATTATGTAAATTTACTTTAACAAATTAAGTACATGGACACATTCCAAGATTGGATCTTAAAAATTGAAACTTGTGTTTAGACAATGCTTTGGTTAATATATCAGCAAATTGGGTGTCACTACTGACATACTTTAAATCTATAACCTTCTGCTGATATTTTTCCTTAATGAAATGATATTTGGTATCTATGTGTTTACAACGTTTATGGAAATTCACATTTTTAATAACACTGATTGCACTTTGATTGTCTAGATGAAGATATAGTATATCCTGTGTGTATTCTCCAATTTCAGACAAAAATTGTTTGAGCCACATCACCTCTTTAGTGGCAGCACAGGCAGCCATAAACTCTGCCTCCGTCGTGGATAGGGCCACAGTTGGTTGTCTCTGACTGGCCCATGTTACAGCGGCTCCATTTTTCATAAAAACATAGCCGGTAACTGATCGACGGGTGTCGAAATCGTTTGCATAGTCGGCATCACTATAGCCAGTCACTTCTGAGGGTTGTGTGGTGTTAGTGTAACACAAGCCATACTCCTTTGTGTCTTTCAAATATTTTAAAATCCTTTTAACTGCATTCCAATGTGTTTGGTTGTAACTATTAAGGAATCGACTCACCAGACTGACAGCAAACATGATATCAGGTCGACTCACTATGGCCAAATGCATGAGAGATCCCACAGCTTCTCTGTATGGTATGTTCTTCTCAGGCTCGCCTTCTCCCTTTTGTAACTTCATGTGAGGGTCGACTGGAACACTGTTGGCATTAGCATTACTCATATTAAATTTGTTCAACATTTGTTCCACAT